ACCATGTAATTTCCAGCAATTCTTCTTCACATGACCCTCAGCTCCACAGTGATAACATGTGCGAGAAGAATTACGAGTCCCTTCAGTAGTGACTGAATTGGTCCTTTTACCATGGCTCACATCACTGACTAAGGCAGCAGTATCAATTGAGTTCATCATTCTGGATTCTCCATCTTTGCACACTGGAAGGAGACGTCCATAGAGGTCAGAAAAACTAGGAAGGGTCCCACCAGACAGTATTTGACTCCTTGATACCTCATATTGTGGACCAAGCCCAGCCAAAACACCATGAACAAATGTTCGCTCCTCTTGTTCTTGCATACTCTTAACATCAGCAGTAATAAGGAATCGAGACCGCTTTTCCTCAAAAATCTGTTTACATTCATTATAGTATTGAAACATCGTCTGATCCCTCATCTCCGGTCTATAGTAGTGCACCAGTAATTGATGAACATAAGAGAGATCTTGTTTACTGGCATACATAGACTCCAAGTATTCCCACATTTCTTTGACAGTATCACAATGAGTAATGATACTATCAATAGAAGGATCCAGGGTATTCTGAATTTGATTGAACAACCTATCATCCGCCATCATCCATTTTTTTCTTTCATCAGGATTACTTCTTGGAGGAGCCATTTCAGTTAGATGATCTCCCAGATCAAGACTATTAACGTATCTAGTAATAGTCCGTTTCCACTGCCCATAATCTTTACTACCAGTCAGTTTTCTCTCGGTAATTCTAGCATTACCGACAGTAATCTCAGTCACACTCTTCTTATCATCACCCATGCTTGCAAACAACTAGGGCAAGAGTGATAACAAGAACATGGTAAGAGAACTGGTGCAAACAGTAAAGATAGTGTCCAGAAAATCAGACCTGCGACAATTGTTCTGCACTATCCGGATTACCACGCCTGCGCCTGCGAACAACGTCCCGTGCCGCACAAAAGAGAGTTGAATCGAACCAGAGGGAGGGAGCAGAGTTGAACTTCGGGAAGTACTACCCGAAGAACCTGTGTGGCTCTGATACCATGTAAACTGAGTAATAAGAATTAAAGATGCAATGAAATCATACTTCATTATCATTAGGTATGGCCAGTATAAATACATACAAGCTAGGGAATACAAAAAGGAAACTAAATCTGTCAGATTTACCTAGAATATTTAGTCTATCACAGAGAATATATTAGCTACCATATATATACATAGAATATATTGACTATTAAATATGTATATTCTAACAATAACCACACATCATCCACATGTGTGTCATTATCAATACGTCATACATCTTCACCGACCATTTTGTGTGTAAAGCTTTGTTGAAGATCTCCCTCAAACCTCCACCACTTTATCTTTGGCTCCACTTGTTGTTTAACTTGTCTTCTATGGTTCTTACCTCGAAAGTCAAGCACAAGCATCCTATACTAGTTCTCTAAGTGGTCCGTACTAAGAAGTAGTCAATTTGGGTACTATTAGCTCCACTTTTATAGGTTACAAGGTGAGAGTATCTTTTCTTAAACCAAGTGTTCATTATAGCCAACTCATACGTCAAGGCAAAATCCAAAATGTTCTTTCCCGCCTCATTCCTAGTGCCAAAACCATGTCTGCCATGAATACTCTCAAAGCCATCACGACTCGAGCACACATGCCCGTTGAGGTCACCTCCTAGATCAACTTCTCTCCCCTTGGCACTCGTCGCACCACGTCTTCAAGATCTTCCCAGAACTGTTGAGTTGTAGATGCATCCAATCCCACTTGTTGTGCATAGGCCTTTACTACAGACACAATCTCACCTCTTATCACCAATTTAATGCTCATGATGCGATCGTTCTTCTTGAAGACTTCTACCACATCCTCAACATAGTCACGCGCCACAATAATGCCTACCCCATTTCTAGTCTTATCTCTCCCCGAATACCACAACTTAAAACCTCCGGTATTAATCTCGTGTGCTTTCTCTCCAACCCATTTAGTTTCTTGCACACACATAATGTTGATATTCCTTCTCCTCATAACCTCGACTAACTCGGAAAATTTGCCTGTAAGAGACCCAACATTCCATGTCCCAAAACGTAATCTAGCACTCCACCTTCTGTTCTTAGCCCCATCTCGGACCCCACCATGCCCTTGCATATTTGAAATCATCCCCGTGCAATGGGATGATGCGCCGCTTCCGGGCGGCGACCTAGCAACCTTAGCATTCTTATCACCACACCCAGGTCTATGAAGTGTAGCGCGCCCTTGCGTACTTGACACCACCCCAGGCGGAGGGATGACGCGTCACTTACGGGTGACGACCTAGCATTAGCCAAACTTTTTTAAAGCGAAAAGCGTCCAAAAGCGATGACCCTGGGCTTTGCTTATAAGCGAAAGCGCTAAGCGAAGCGTAGCTTTCTCACAAAAAGCGATGCTTAAAAAAATAAAAGAAAATATAAAATATAATGTATAATTATGCCAAAAATGCACTAATAGTCATAAAAGTCATTCAAAATAATACTAGTGTGGCATAAAGTTTCAAAACCTTCATCACACAATTACGCAAAAACACATAACTAATCATAAAAGTCATATGGGTAATACTAGTGCGGCATATAGATAAAAACATTCATCACATAATGTCATAGTTTCATTAAAAACGGTTCTTAGAATCTTCATCATTCCATCGTCTCATCATCCTCGTCATCAAACTGGCCTTGTTCTTCTTCACCCATAACTAAAGTATCAAAGTCCTCACTATCATCATCATAGACTCCAACATGCTCCTCATCTTCGTCCTCATCTTCATCAACAAGTCTACGGGTGGAGGCCTTTTCTTTTCCCTTGGACTTGGAACTTTCTGCTTTATCTTTCCCTTTAGAATTGCGTCTAAGAGAATATGGCGTATCATGTACACCAGAAAACTTCGCAACATCTCCCCAGGTCAAATCATCTCCGTCATCAAAGACCAACTCTTCATTTGCATCATCAACTGCACCGGTCAACCATTCATTTGCCATGTCTATGTAATCCAAGCAAATAGGATCTATAGAATCACGCATTTCCCAACGACGTCTCAATGCCCTATTGTACTTAACAAATACCAAATCATTGAGGCGATTGTATTCGAGACGACTTCTCCTCTTTGAATGCAACTGTTAAGTAATTAAAATTTTTCAGTTAGTCAAATGAATGGAAAAATTGAAATTGACCTACACTCTAGCATTAGAATAATTATTCTTACATGTTCAAATACACTCCAGTTCCTCTCACATCCCGATCCACTTGTTGTTAAGCTGAAAAGCTTAATTGCAAATTCCTTTAAGTGGGGAGCACTGGCACCGAAAGATGTCCACCAATCAACTATAAAATGAATTTAAAATGTTAAAGCCACTCTAAATTGTAATAATTTTTCTAAATAATATAAATTGATGAATAGATATTAACCTGGGGGTTTAACGCCTCGTTGTTTCTTCGCAAATGAACTGCTAAATAGTCCGCGTCCTAATTCCCAAATGGACACCTCACTAACAATTTTTTTTTGAAGTTCTTCATTTGGAACCAACCTCTCCAAACATTCATAAAACCCACTCACCACTTCAGCTGAATTTATGGTAGAAGATACTGGTGACTCACCTGGAAATCGAAAGAAATCCGGATTCAAGAAGAAAGCAGCTGCATGCAACGGCTGACGAAGTTGAGAAGTCCATCTCGTGTCTATTATGTCAAACACTTTCTTGTACTTGTATTGGCTGTTGTTGAAGGCTTTGGCTATTGCTGCTTTTGTCAATTCCATTGCCGGATATACATATCCCATAGCCGACTTCACATCTCCATCAACTATTCAAAGGGTTGGCATAAGTGGTCCTCCAACTTTTAGTGCCTCATGAAGTGTGTTCCAAAAGGACGGCATCTGGACAATTCTACCACACTCCTTTCCAGCCTCTTCTTTGGAATAGTTGCTTGTTAAGAACTCATCACAATTGAAAAGCTTGATCAACTTATTCTTGTGCTCCTTTAACCTCTTGAATGTCAAGAAAGCTGTGGCAAATCTTGTCTTAGCAAACTTCACCAACTCTCTCTTCCCGGTGAATTTTCTAAACAAGTTCAGCAAATTGGTTTTTGAATGGATGTAGACCGACAATTTCAGAGATCTTTTTTTGTAGGTTGTCTGAAAGTGCTTCAGCCAAATATGTCTTTGAACATCAAATTGATGCAATGAGCAGCACACGGTGTCCAATAAATTGTCGGGTACTTCTCCATTAAATCCTTGCCTAAACAATAAGAAAATGAAAAGAATAATTAAATTTAACTAAATTATATATTAGAGATTATGAGTTTAAGTATAAAATAAACTTAGTAACTTAACAGCTTTGACATTTTCAGAAGCGTTGTCTGATATAATTTGAACAACATTTCCCCTCCAACTCTATTCACAATGAGTTCAAAGAGCTCAAGCATCTTCTCTCCATCCACAATGTCCAAACTTACTTCTAGTGATTGGATAAAATAAGACCCAAGTGAACAATTAACTAACACATTGATATAAGCGCGATTCCTTCTATCAGTCCACTGTCCACTTATCCATCATCAATGAACAACCATATTGCTTGCAAATATCCTCATGTGGTTTGAAAATATTAAATAGTGATGCATTTATCTAGAATATTCTATGTAGAAAAGGCTAGAGATGATCTAGAGAGTTAAAGGTAGAAAGTATTCTAGAAAATTCTCTACTAGAGAATTCTTATAAAATCTAGAGTAATTAGACATAGATGTAGAATACTCTAGAATCATAGCATTTAATAAGGATCTAGAATGATCCTCTAGCTCCTATAAATAGGACTCATTGTACTCATTTTCAAACCAAGCAAAACCAAGAAACATCAATACAATACTACTTTTCTAGAGACAAGAGCTCTCCTCTAAAACACATCATCTACATTACACCTCACTAAAATCACTTATTCTATTCATACAACCAACAACCTCTTCTGTTTTCTAACAAGTGGTATCAGAGCTTGTTCGATCATAAGCGGGCATTATGACGACATCAAGCTTCTCGGTATCAACTCCGATGTTCAATGGAGAAAGCTATGACTATTGGAGTGTCCGTATGAAGACTTGCCTAGAATCACATGATCTCTGGGATATTGTTGAAGAAGGAATCATCATGCCGGAAAAAGGAAGCGACGACGCATCAACTTCCGAGGTACGTAAGAAACAAAAACAGCAAAATGCTAGAGCTCTCTATCTTCTTCAACAATCCGTTTGTGATACTATTTTCCCGAGAATAATTCGTGCTACTACGGCAAAAGAAGCTTGGGATATTCTTAAGGAGGAATTTCAAGGAAATGAGAAAGTTAGAACTATTAAATTACAAAGTTTAAGAAGAGAGCTCGAAAATTTAAAGATGAGAGATTCTGAAATGGCAAAAGATTATTTCTCTCGGGTTATACATATAGTCAACGAAATGAGAACTCTTGGAGAAAACATAACCGACGAGAGAATAATCCAGAAGGTCCTAATCAGTCTCCCTGAAAAATATGATCCAGTAGTTTCGGCTATTGAGGAGTCAAAAGATCTATCAAAAATGTCCATCACTGAATTAATGGGGTCGCTAGAAGCACGTGAGCAAAGGCTAAACAGACGACACGAAAGTTCATTAGAAAGTGCCTTCCAGTCTAAGCTCAACATTAAAAGGAATCACTCGAGAAATGGTGAAAACTTTAAACCACATAAAGATGGGAATTCTAACAACAAGGAGAGGAAGACGAACTTTCCACCATGCAAAATATGCAAGAAGACTAATCACTTAGAGAAAGATTGCTACCATCGAGGAAAGCCACAATGCAGAAATTGCAAGAGGTTCGGGCATGAAGAAAAAGATTGCAGAGATAGAAGAAACTATCAGGCCAACTATTCTGAAGATTTTAAGGAGAAGGAGTACATGTTCTACGCATGTCACTCAGCCATAGAAGCAAAAGAAGAAGAGTGGTACATCGATAATGGGTGCAGCAATCACATGACATCCAATGAGACCATCTTCCATGACTTAGACACCTCTATCAAGACAAAAGTCAAGATGGGAAATGGCGATTTGGTGGAGGCAAAGGGGAAAGGTACCATTGTCATAGATACAAAGAAAGGTACGCGCTTTATTAGAAACGTTCTCCTAGTGCCACGCCTTGCACAAAATCTACTAAGTGTTGGCCAAATGATGGAAAGTGGATATGCCTTGCACTTTGAGAAAAATTCTTGCCGAATTTATGACAAGAACAATAATCAAGAAATTGCTGAAGTAAAAATGGGAAATAATAGAAATTTTCCTATTCAATGGCAATATCCACAAAAGGCGATGGTGGCTCAACTGAGTAATACGAGTCTATGGCATCGAAGATTTGGGCACTTCAATCTCAATGCCTTGAGATTACTACACCTAAAGAAGATGATGAGAGACATGCCTCTACTGGATGAAAAAGAAGGAGTATGTGAAGGATGTATGGATGGGAAGCAGCACAGGCAACCATTTCCAACAGAAAAGACATGGAGAGCCAAACAGATACTAGAGCTTGTCCACACCGATGTTTGCGGTCCAATGCGCACGCCTTCAGTTTCAAAGAACAGGTACTTCATACTCTTCATCGATGATTACTCTAGGATGACATGGGTGTATTTTTTCCAAGAAAAATCCGAAGTCTTTAGAATATTCAAGAGATTCAAGAACTTCGTGGAGAAACAGAGTGGTCATCAAATCAAGAAGTTGAGAAGCGATCGAGGTACTGAATACAACTCAAAAGAATTTGACAAGTTCTGTGAAGATGAAGGTGTAGAGCATCAACTAACAGTAGCATACACTCCACAACAAAATGGGGTATCTGAAAGGAAGAACCGCACAGTCATGGAGATGGCAAGGTCTATGTTAGCTGAAAAAGGAATGCCTAAAACGTTCTGGGCAGAGGCAGTATATACTTCAGTCTATCTTCTAAACCGGTGTCCAACTAAGACGGTTTTAAACAAAACACCTATTGAGGCATGGTCTGGACAAAAGCCTTCAGCCAAACATTTGAAGGTCTTCGGAAGCATATGCTACATTCATGTTCCCTCTGTTAAAAGGCACAAATTAGAAGACAAGACAGAGAAGGGCATCTTCCTTGGCTATAGCTCCAAATCCAAGGGATATCGAATCTACAATCTCGAGACAAAGAAGTTGGTGACAAGTCGAGATGTGGAGTTTGACGAGCAAGCCTCTTGGAATTGGGAGACAGAAAAAGTTGAAAGAAAGACAACTACTGTCCAACTAGAGGAAATACCAGAAGAGGAAAATCACGATCAACAAAGCCCCACGTCTACTCCAAGATCCTCTTTTGAAGCTAATACATCAAGAAATCACGACTCCTCACCAGAGTCCCCACCTCTTCGGGTAAGAACTCTAGCAGACCTATATGAGTCTACTGACATCTATGAAACATGCAACTTTTGCTCCTTGGAGCCATATAGCTACACCGAAGCCTCCAAAGAAAAAGTTTGGATTAAAGCAATGGAGGAGGAGATCAAAATGATAGAAAAGAATGATACTTGGGAAATGGTAGATCTTCCACATAACAAGGAGGTTATCGGAGTCAAATGGGTGTATAAAACAAAATTGAACCCCGATGGCTCAATTCAGAAGCATAAGGCAAGGCTGGTTGCAAAGGGGTATGCTCAAATACCGGGAGTTGACTACACAGAGACGTTTGCACCAGTTGCCCGGATGGACACAATAAGAACACTCATAGCTCTTGTTGCTCAGAAGAAATGGAAAATTTATCAGCTAGATGTCAAGTCAGCCTTTCTAAATGGAGAGCTACGAGAAGAAGTGTATGTGGAACAACCAGAAGGATTCATCAAAGAAGAAGGAAAAGTTCTTCGTCTAAAGAAAGCGCTTTACGGGCTCAAACAAGCTCCACGAGCGTGGTATAGCAAGATTGATGGATACTTCACCCGTCAAGGGTTCAGGAGGAGTAAGAACGAGGCTACACTATACATCAAATCCCAAGGTAAATCCGACATTCTCATCGTCTCTCTATATGTTGATGACTTAATTGTCACAGGAAATAATTCCAAATTAATTGAAGAATTTAAGAGAGACATGATGAACACTTTTGAGATGAGTGACTTGGGATTACTGCACTACTTTCTTGGCATGGAGATAAGTCAAGAAGAAGAAGGCATATTCTTATCTCAAGAAAAATATATTAAGGACATGCTAAAGAAGTTTAAAATGCAAGACTGCAAAGCCGTCGTTACTCCACTGGTTCCTAATGAAAAATTGAAGAAAGAAGATGGGTCAAAGCAGACGGATGCAACCAATTACCGAAGTTTGATTGGGAGTCTACTCTACTTAACGGCTACGAGGCCGGACATCATGTATGCTACAAGTTTGCTCTCGAGATTCATGGAAAGTCCAACTGAGACTCATTATGGAGCGGCAAAGAGACTCCTTAGGTATCTACAAGGAACCATCAATTATGGTATTTGGTACAAAACAACTCCTGACTCACGACTAACTGGATATAGCGACAGTGATTGGGCTGGATCTCAAGATGACATGAAAAGCACCTCCGGTTACGCATTTAAGCTGGGTTCGGGAATTTTCTCATGGGGATCAAAGAAGCAAGATTCTGTTGCACTATCTTCAGCCGAAGCCGAGTATGTTGCAGCAGCCGGAGCAGCGTGCCAAGCTATATGGCTAAAAAGAATATTAGAAGACATGGGAGAATTGCAAAGTTCTGCGACTCAAATATTTTGCGACAACAAGTCAGCTATTGCGATGGCTAAAAATCCAATTCAGCACAATCGTACTAAGCACATCGATACCAAGTATCACTTCTTGAGAGATGTCCAAGCAAAGGGGCATATTGAGATGAAGTACTGCCCAACAGAAGAACAATTGGCAGATATTTTCACGAAGGCCCTGCCAAGAGACAGATTCCAGTTTCTGCGAAGAATGCTTGGAGTCACCGACAAATGCATCAAGGAGGAGTATTAAATAGTGATGCATTTATCTAGAATATTCTATGTAGAAAAGGCTAGAGATGATCTAGAGAGTTAAAGGTAGAAAGTATTCTAGAAAATTCTCTACTAGAGAATTCTTATAAAATCTAGAGTAATTAGACATAGATGTAGAATACTCTAGAATCATAGCATTTAATAAGGATCTAGAATGATCCTCTAGCTCCTATAAATAGGACTCATTGTACTCATTTTCAAACCAAGCAAAACCAAGAAACATCAATACAATACTACTTTTCTAGAGACAAGAGCTCTCCTCTAAAACACATGATCTACATTACACCTCACTAAAATCACTTATTCTATTCATACAACCAACAACCTCTTCTGTTTTCTAACAGAAAAGCTCCTTCACATGCTCTACTTCCTTTTTAAGATATGTCACTCGAAGTTCATGATAAGTAGGAGCTTTCATCTCGGGTCCATGTTGTGCGACAACATCAATGAAACTTTGAAATGTCTTGTAATTGACACAGTTAAAGGGTAATCCACCTTCATACATCCATTGTGCAAATGCACCAACAGCCCTTTCCCTTAACTCTTTTTTGCAAGACGCTAGAGTTTGTTCTGCCCCTCTTGCCCTCTTCAAAGTTCCCTGTTCTTTTGAAACCGCTTTGAAATACAAATTCATGGGCCCTTTAGTTGATGATGCTTTGCTCATAGCATCTCCAAGCTCCAGCTCTTCAACATCATCATCATCAAAATCATGTGTGGAAAAGTTCTCTCTCATATCTTCTTTTCTTTTACTTTTGTTATCAAGAAGCTCCTTCACTGCGACTCTAGCTTCTTGTGGACACTTAGGACACGCCTTAACACATTTAAAGCCACCAACAAGATGTTGTTTGTGACGATATATACCTCCACTTGTGATTTTATCACAATATATGCATTGCACACGTGTGTAATCGTTTGGCGTGACCCTTAACCCATGCTCCCAAGCAGGATCCTGACTTTTAGATTGTTCTCCAGACATTTTTGTCTACAATTCTACATATACATGTTTCACAAAAAAAACATAGGCTCTTTTAGTTTGCCAAAAAAAATTCAGGACGATTTGGAAGCTTATTATACAAACATATTACAGAATAAGATAGAAACAGAGTTGGATAAGCTGCGGA